TTGCTAGAACTTTTTCATGATTTATGTCATCAAATATTTTCTTTTTTGGGGTACTTTTAGGGTTGGTTTCTTTTTGGGTGAGGGGAGGGGTGAGAGTGCGTAACCTATCGCAACCCTCCTCCTTTACCTAGGCTTGAGATTGGCAATGTGAGCAAGCACACACAGGCATAATGTAGTATGGGTCTAAGATAAGCTTAAATGGAACTACTTAGTTTGGGAGGATTCATATAGCCAAACCCAACTTGCTTGGTGTCGAGGTGTAGTAGTTGTTAAGATTTTGGTTTATTTGTCTCGTGTTTTCTTATTTTTGGATTTCAGAGTACTTCATATTGTTTCTTTCTCTTGGGTCATTTTACTATTTTGCTTTTGTTACTGTTTCTTTTCATGCTTAATACATTACCGAATTCCTTTTTGTTATTGTTGTGTTTATGCTTTCCTTGAGCTGAAGGTCTATTGGAAACAACCTCTCTACCCCCACAAGGGTAGGGATAAGGTTTGCATACATACATACTACTATCCCCAGAACCCACGATGTGGGATTACACTGGGTATGTTGTTATTGTTGTTGTTGTTTATGGAGATGGGTTGGAAGAGGGATGAGGTTGCTTGGGTGGAGTGGAAGGGCTAAACCAATAGTTAAAGCTTGCAACTTTATTAGGACAAGCTTGTTTATGGATAATTCTAACAATTTGACATCAGTTATCAGAAATATTTAGTTGAGTTGTCACGATGGATCTTTGGCAGCTCTTTGAGATTGTTTATCAACAATACTACGGCTACGGCTCAATGCCAAGCTAGATTTTTTCACATATTTTAAATGATTTGAGAATATTTGGGATATTGCTGAAGTTTAAATAGCTTGCCTATTTGGAATTTCTTTTGAATGGGAAGCAGTGGGACTAAGAGTACGGATTAAGTATAGCTTGTGTACTTGCATGTGTACGTGTGCAATATATATATATATATAGGTTTTGTTATTCCAAGCTTATAGTTTAAAATTATACAGTATGTATTTAACCCTACTTAGCATCTAATCATCTATGTGCATGTTATAAGCCATTATGTGATCATAGTCGAGATGGAATAGGTCATATTTGCAACTTCTTTTTTCATGCATTACTAGTGTAGGATAAAATAATAGTAACCATTTTCCTAAGGTACAAATAATAGCTACCATATGGTGACATGCCATTCATCAGATTTGGATCAACACACAAAATTTTACTTGGACAACAGTAAGATACGCATTTTCGGTGAAAATTTGGAAGATTTCTGTGGGCTCTATTTGCAACTGGAAATCAGACCTACTTAGTGTTAATTCAGTGAAGTTGATGAATTTTTATCTTATGAACATGAAAATGGCATCAGGAGACATGACGTGCACAGAGAATTAACAAGAAATATGTTGATTGGATTGGATAAAAAATCCTTGGTTAGAGGCAATTCAATCAAGAGGTGAGAGTCTTTCGCTGAATACTGCATAAGAATACATGTTGCTATGCTAAACTAGAATGCTCTTCATGCAGTTTAGTTATAGTTTGCTGTCTCTCTCTCTCTGGGAGTTCTGGGGTTCTCTCACTTGGACTTGTGAATTTATCCGTGTAAACCTGAAGAGACCTTGTAGACATTTTTATGATTTAGCCTAGCTGCTTATGATAATTGGAAAGTTTCAAGGATCATAAAGAGGCAACCTTTTCTCATTTGCACAATTACTGGAAGCTACTGTTATTAGTTATATTTTCATAGAAATTCTTCCTTTCCTCATCATTATTTTACTTTTGAGAAGAATGGAGACCAGATGGAGTCAAATAAATTAGGTATTTGTAGTCATTTCATAATTGCAACTTTTGATGGAAAATTTATTATAGATAGAATGGAGGCCCTTGCAATTTTATAATCGTACATGGATAATGGATTATCCTTCATTGCTGTGGAGTGTTTTTCATCATTGTTTGGGTTTGAAATACCATATATATCATTATTTAATACACGTAGAAATTTTTATTGTTGTACATGGATTGTGATTCATTGCTGTGGATCGTTTCATTCATCATTGTTTGGGCTCTTGATATATGAGATACCATGTACATTATAAATATTCAATGCATGCCGAAAGTTTGATGGGTCTTTTCATATTTTCGGTCAAACTTATAATTGTCGGGTTGGTAGAGGAAGTTCCATTTTGGGATTGTATAACATTGCTATTTGAGAGCGTGACATCACTTTCAAGGGTTGCACTGATGTTGCACCTAATCTAAAGATATTGCAGTGAGAAATGCCTACTTTGGGTTGGGATACTGGAAACCCAGAGGTATACTAGACGTAATCTACCTTGATTAAGTGGATTAGCTTTCCAGATTATGTAGCTGAGAGAGAGAGAGGATATTTATGTGAATTGTAGTTTGAAGGTGGGGCCTACCTTTTTCACTGGATTTGTTTCCTTCTTCTGCTTCTAGAACATGGAGAATGCTATTGAAGCGCATGCTTTCCATTTTCAAGACAAAGTTAAAAGAAAGTTTATATGATTTTAAGTTTTGAATAGGAAGTAATAGTTACATTTGTTCAGCAAAATGATTTCAGAGTGGTTTCTCATTGATATGCAGAATGTGATTTTCTGTTTCTCCTTCCGCCCCCCCAAAAAAAAAAAGAAAAAAGAAAAAAAGAAAACCAAAATAAAAATAAAAGAAGCCCTTTTTCTCTTTTCCGCCGTAGCTTGTCCCCAAGTAGAGAGAAAGCGAGGTGGTTTCAGAACCTTCAGGTTTACGATTGATTTGTTGAAATGGGATGTAGTGTATTAGATATCATTCAGTAGAATGATTTCACTAAGGTTTCTTAATGATATAAAGTATGATTTCATATTGTTCTATTTCCCTTTTCTTTCTTTCTCCCTAAATTTTCTCATTTGCTGTAGATATTAGAATGATTAGTTTGTTCACAAGGAGCTGGAGTCTAATTTTGATACCATGGGGCTTAGATTTGGACCCATAACCACTAAACCATCCCTTAGCTTAAGCACATATATCAAGTGGAGGCAGGGTGATTAGTTTGTAGCCTATGCTTGGAGGAGTTCTTTGTGATGACAGAATTAAAAGCTCTTCCATCACTGATACCTGATTTTTGGCTAGGTTGTGGGACCGAATTGGGAAGAATTGAGTTTGATTATATTGGAGGAAATTTCCTATATTGGAGTTTAAGGTAGGAGAATGTGAGTCCTGTGCAGGTACTTTGGTGGATAAGTGTGTGTCAGCTTGAAGGTTCTTGGTCAACTGTTTAAAGGACAAAGTAGGTTAGCGCGCACCATTATTTCTTATTCTCATTGATACTAAGAGATTTTAGTCCTGTGTTGTTGCGTTCCGTGAAACGCTTTTTATCTCTCTCTCTCTCTCTTGGTTACTCATTTAGGGTATATTGGCATCTGCGTTTTTAGTGGAAGTCGATACTTTCTTTCATATTCAATGTGTTTCAAGTGCTCGTATTAATTAAGAGCAGCTGAGACTCTGTAGTTTTGACCTCTTGTAAGCAGTGAAGCGCTTTCTCCAATGTAACTTCATAGTCGCAATCATGTGACGTCCATTTGAACTTGACATGTTTCGGGAGAGTAGCTCTATAGATCTTGCATGAAGGTTTCTGCCAAGGGAATACCTTCATTGGATCGAGGTTTGATAGGATTAGGATGTTGTTTTAAACATTTTTGAGAAGCTTTTATAGTAGAAAAGAATTGCTTGAATCCATGAATCCATGAATCCGGCCATCTTAGTTTAAAACCGTCATTGAACAAGGTCATTCTCTTCCATTGCAGGTGCCATGTATAATTAGGAACATAATGTATCATGTCTTTGTTCATCTGAACTGCATAATTCTTCTTGGTTTCCATTTAGGATATCTTTTTTTTTGAGTATCTGTTTAGTATTTTATCTAATTTGTATATATCATTATTTTCCATTTGGTAAGCTTATTATATTTAGCCTTTTAAAATATATGCTCTTGCTTTAATGAGTGGATGACACCTGAATAGTTAGTAATTTAAGGCCTTGATTCATTTCAAGCTAAAGGATTCAATCTCTCCTTTTTCAGGTTATTGATTCCTCCTCGTGCAGCTTTGACCATCTTAGGTGGTTTGTGCTACTCTTCATTGAAGCAAACATGAATCAACCACATCAATATGGTGAAGATCAAGTAAGCTGCAAATTTCCTGTTAGTAATTGTATCACTGTTTCTTAAACTATGCCTTAATTCTAAGTTATGCTCGACAGGATGAACCCACTGTGATAGGTTTCGAAGTTCCAAGATCACCCGATGCAAGTTACAACAACGTGTATCCTGGGAATGAAGATGAAGGGCGGGAACCGCCAATGCTCCCGTCACATCTGCACCATACCTTGTTAAACCACCAAGCGACTAGAGATCAATCTGCATCCCTCCCCTTGCCACAAAATGTGGTTTTAAACCATCTCTATATCGAGAACAGAGAAGCCCCAAGATCAGTTGTGGCACTAGGGGTAACACATCGTTTTCGTTCAAAATATGTTACAGTTGTGCTTTACAAACCAGTTCAAAGGAGAGGAGGTAGTAACAACGCCTAAAGCACGTGATGGAAGCACCATCTTTGTTTGTTTTGATGGAAACAATAGAGGTAAATACACAGCAATTGAGCAGCGGGAGAACATTTACTTCTACACAGCTGCCTGTAAAAGTAGGAAAAATTTAGGATCTTGATCATCCTTGGACTTGAATAGTTGAAATTAGATTTTGGTTGGTTTCAAAAAATTTGCTTGTACTATGGAAAAAATTAGTCATGTTCTTGGGGTGAGCTTGGGGTAAGCAGAGTTTTATGGTTGTGCATTGCACTGTAGCACCAGATTGATGAAAATTGAAACAGTGAAGTTTCTGATGATTATATATTCAATATGTATGATGCACTTTACAATTATGTACTCTTCGCCTATTCTACAAAACTATTTGAGCTATCATATATGAAGAAAAAAGATGTTGATAATGGCTCAATAGACAAGTAGCTGCTGATTTTCCCATTGGGGTTGTAAAGATGTTAATCTGCAACATGAATTGATTGAGAGTAGCAATGCTTTGTTAACTTCTCCAGCAGCTGCTCCTTTCTTGATTAACAAAATGATGTGATCCATGAAAAGTGAATCACATGGCAATGTAATAGGCCCACAACTAGGCAGCCCAAATTCTTCTTCAAACATTTGCAAAAGTTGCCTAATGGCCTCATTTTCCAGATAAGATAATGGTATCGCAAAGCGCATTTGATCAGCTGTGTACACTACAAAATGGCCTTTCTCAACTATAGATGATGATGTTGTACTGCAGTTGTCTGCATCATTGCCATTTTTTGGAAGTGAAATCCTCTTCCTCTGCATGCGCACAAACTTGTGCCATTTCATGGCCATCTTGATGAGTTTCTTAGCGCTTAGCATTGTTTGACAGTAAACTAAATAAAACTGAAAACTTTGAAGGAAATTGATACTGCTTGTCTTGGATGATGAGAAGTTTCATAAAAGAGGATTATTTATACTAGAGGCCTTAGATAGGCTTTGAGTTGCAGCTGAAGCTTTTGCAACTATTCACCAAAGGCAAAACCATGTGGTGATGCCTGTTGGTAATGTTTGATATGGGGTCATTTAGATTGTGGATAAAGCTAGTTTGAATCATAAATGATATGTTTCTCCCTGTCTTCTCTTTGGTAGAAAGAAGACATTATTAGTCAAAATTCAATCCTTTTGGACAAGTTAGGAGAGCTAATACCCAAGGTTATGAGAAAAGGTAGGGCCTTTTGACAACATTACCAAATGCTTGTCAGTCAGTATGAAGGCAATCCATGTGTGCTACATATGGTATTTTTGTTCTAGTTGGGGTTACCAAATCCTTTCCCAATCTTTTACCAGTAAATATCAGGATGTCTTATGACATTACTTGTTATAAATACACATCCAATTTTTCAAAAATTTTCTTTTCTTTTCACTCTTCTAGACAAATAAAATAATCTTATAGTTCCAGGGTCTGTTGTCAAAGGGTTGCAGCCATTTTCATTTGATCAAATTTGTTCCACTAAAATTGACTAAAAGAATTAAACTTTGTCTATAGTCATGGTTCCTCCTTCAGTTTTGTTTGCAAATATAATATGTGCTACAATGTTCAGACCAATGTGCCTGATATTTTATGTGACCTTACTCCTGGTTTTATTGGCTGCAGCAACTAGAATTATTTACAGCTCTCATCCCCTCCCTTATGTGGTTGTACATTGAACTGCCTCATTATACAAAGTTCCTAAGTCGACCAATGTATATAATACATAAGAACAATAACAACAACAATAACAAACTCAGTGGAGTCCCACAAGTGGGGTCTGGGGAGGATAATGTATACGCATGCCTTACTCCTACCCTTGGGAGGTAGAGATGTTGTTTCTGATAGACCCTTGACTCAACAAGATGAAAAGCAACACTAGAAACAAGCAATATCAACCACAAAGGCCAGAAAGATAATAACAACAATCTAAGAACCAGAAAAATAGACAGAAGGAAGCTTGTTTCAATATTTTGTTTCAGTGTGTCTGTCTAAAAATAGATAATGCCTGAAGGCGTTCATCATTATACATTTGGATATGAATGATTTGTTGCTAGAAACCAAAATCCAAGTGGAGCTGGGGTAAGTATGAGGTATGATCAGTCAACCATTGAAATTTTTTATAACGTTCCAAATGATTGCTGCGATCTGCAGCTTCCTTCTCAATCTAGTGTTATCAAGTATGAGATTTTGCTGCAGTTAAAGGGGAGCACTTCTACTATTACACTTCATTTACTCTTTTGAGTTAATTTCATATCAGCATGACTTGCTTGGACATTATTCGTATATCTGAAAGTCTTGATCGACAAAGTTGACTATTCGGATAAAAAATAAGTGTATTTCTGTAAATAGTGCCAGATCAAGATGAGAATCTAAAAGTCCTCAATCACCAAATTGGAAGCTATAAATCTAAATCTGGTTAAATTCAGAAAAATCTCTATTGCATTTACACACTTTCAATTGCCTACTTTTCATCTGCTATACAATCTGTTTTGATCTATCATTTACTAAAGATAATCATCATGACTTAATAAACAAGAAGCTGCTGGTTTCCCCATTCTTGGTGTAAAGAAGAAGTTGAACAACAGCATGAAGTAACTGATAGGAGCAATGCTTTGTGAATATCTCCAGCAGCTGCACCTTTCTTTATTAGTGAAATGATGTAGTCCATGAATGCTGAATCACAAGGTAATGTAATAGGGCCTCCACTTGGCAGCCCGAACTCTTCCTCAGACATGTTTAAAAGTTGCAAAATGGCCTCATTTCCCAGATAAGCCAAGGGAATTACAAAGCACCTTTGATCAGTTGTATACACTACAAATTGGCCTTTTCCGGCTATAAAGGTTGAAGGTGTACTACAACTGTCTGCATCATTGAGATTTCTTGGAAGTGAAATCCTTTTCCTCTGCATGGATGCAAACTTTTGCCATCTCCTTGCCAGCTTGATGAGATTTTTTAACACTGACCATCGTTCTTTTCTCCGAAAGATTGGAACACAAGAAGGTAATTCATATANATGGAAGGGGTATTATTTATACAAGAGGTTGGAAACAGTAGTTGAGTTGGATCTGAAGTTTTTGCCTGTTGGCCATGTTGATATGGGGCCTTCAATTTATGGATGAAGCTAGTTTGGATTCATGTAAGATGATAAGTTTCTTCCTTTGTCCGCTTTGGTTGACACCAGAATGGACATATTAGTTCTGATATCAACTCATATGTAGGATTTCTCATATGTGCCAATAGTTAAAGACCTTTAAATGAAGATTTGATTTTCAGTGGTAGATTTATGTTTTTGCTGGGGAAAGGGAAAACCATGTGGTGCTGCCTTCTTAGACATGTAAATAGGGAACATTTAAATTGCGACAATGGCTGGTTGTGCTATAAAAACCACAAAGAAGGATTAAGTTTGTTCTGGTTCTGCTTTGCTTTTGCCTATATCTTTTGGGGCTTATCCATTCCAGTGGCAGCTGTTGGTTAGCTTAATGATTATGCAAAATAAAGTGTGTGTTCTAAATCAGCAATCTTTTTATAACCAAAATAAGCCTTCATCAACATGAACGAGATGAACGATATCGATTTGATGGTAAAAATGGTTTTATGCTGCTTTTTACATAACTTTCTTCTGAGTTAGTCATATCACCACCTCATCCATTAATTGTGAAAGCCACAAGATGGACCAGTTGCGCGACCAGCTGGGTAGATAAATACTTGTAATGATTTTTGTCCTATGGAGAGATATATTGCCCCAAAATAAAAAAGAAAAAAAGAAAGAAAAAAAGAAAGAAAAAAAGAAAGAAAGACCTATAATGAATGCACCATAATACCAGTGGTTCATAATTTATTGAATTTGAGGCTTGCTATACTCTTCATTTTCATCTATGCATATTGTAGAACTATGATCTTGTTAGTCAACAGAAATGCACCATTCAAAGTAATCATACTTGATTTCATTACTTAGTCCAACTTACTAAGACCACTTGTTTTAGAAAATATATCGTAAGTAGTAAACTAGTTTACCAATTAGTCGACTAGAAATAGAAACAAGATAATAGTAATGCAGAAATAAAGTATAGAAATTAAAGACACCAGAATTTTATACTGGTTCGGATTCAATGTGAATCCTAGTCCAGTCCCCTTGGGTTGCAAGGGTGTTCTCTTTCAGTGATTGAAGTTTCTTGCGTACAGAATGGTTGATGTAGCTTTACACCAACAAAACAATCTCTATGTCACTTTTCTCTTCTTTGATACAAAGCTTTTCCAGTGTTTATCTCTACAAAGCTTTTCCAATGTTTATCTCTTTTTCTTCTCTCACTAATTACACAACAGATCTATAAGAACTACAATGCTTGTTTGGAGTAGAACAAAATGAGTGAAAATGGTTCGTTCAAAGTATGTTCGCTTCAAGTCTGGAACGTATGTATATATACACTTTATGAGGCCTTCTTGACTCGTGAATCTGGAGAGATTGCAAACCCACGGGAATTGATCTTTGAAAGGAATCACAGATTGATTTTTTCTAAGAATAACGTCAGATTTTCGTTGATCTTCCTTGATTTGTGGTCTTGATGAGCTTCTTATCCGCTAGGCATATCTTTTTGTTACTTGAAGTGTATCCGCTAGATCCCTTAATTTTTGGCTTCATCGGTCTTCACTGCTTCCCTTTGCAATCTCGTTTCCCTTTGATTTCGGGACCTTTCAGTAATAGCTTCCATCAATCATTTATAGAATTATAGAATCACTGATTGATTCTTCTTCCGGATCTCCGTTGCTTCTTCCTTTTTCATCGCTAATCATTGATTCCTTTTCTTGCGTTGCTAATTGTTTCCTTAATCTATTCTTGATTGGTATTGCTTCTTGATTCCTTTGTTTTATTCCTTGTGATCCTGCACCAAATGTGATATATTATTTTTTATCATTGAAAATTATAGTTAACAATCTCCCCCCCTTTTGATGATGACAAATATATATATAAAAAATAATATATAAACAACAGTTAATTTTCCTGTAGTCGACTCCCCCTCAATAGGTGCTGCATATACTTTAGTTGACTCTCCCTCAATAGGTGCTTCAGTCGACTCCCCCTCAACATGTGACTCCCCTTCAACAGATGCTTCAGTCGACTTCCCTTCAACATTTCCAACAGTCTGTCCTGCAATGTACAAACTTCTTTCTCCCCTGTTTTGACATCAGCAAAGAGGGGATATACAAATATACTAATTATAGGCCAATATTATACATCATAGGCAAATATTATAGGCATGCAGAGTTTAGAAAAACATCTAGCGACTGGTTATCCAGTCTAAAACAACAAAACATCAAAAAAAAATTGTTTGAAACTTTCACAATTAACACCTTAAGAAATAAGTAAGAGTGTTGCAAATCGCCTCCTTCGGACGTTCCAAGCTAGCATTAGCTGAAACTGCCACCCCATCAATCCTGTTTCCTTCAAAGCTTTGTCTGCATTTTCTCCAAGTTTGAAAATTTTAACTCTCATCTTTGAAACATCGGACCTAGTCTCCTTGGAGATCGCATGGATGTCCCCAACAATGGATTGAGTTGCAGCAAGAAGATCCTTGATGATGATCAACTTGTTGTCAATAGCAGTTAGTTTCTCCATAAGATCAGGATCACTTACACTATGATGGGAAACAAAGGCTTTGATCTTGGAATCAGGATGAACATTCTTGACTTCACCTTCCTGTTTATTCACCCAGGAACCCTTAGCACACACATACCCCATACTAACGAAAGCCCGAGAGTTGTAGGATTTTGAAACAGAGACAAAAGGGTATTATGAGATAGAGATGTTGTGGGCTTCCAAAATGTGGGTGATAGCCATACCATAGGGTAA